TTCAGCTCAACGTTACACCATGGAAGACTCCCTGCAACATGAAAGGAGATAAAAAATTAGCATGTCACCAACACTTTTTATGAAATAATAATATCAATCGAACTTTTAGTCTTTTGAGGGACACAAGAAGCTAAAGAGAATGAAAGTCAAAGCTCACACCATAGTATTAACAATGATTGTACATAGAAATATTATTTTAACAAGTTTAAATTCAGAATGCTTGGTTTTTCCCCTACAAGAACCTCACACACAACCCCAAGAACGTTAAAAACCAAAGTTAAGCATTGAAACAAGTAACTCAAAAGCAAACAGAGTGAGCAAAAAAAAAAAACAGAAAGTAAATCCTAGTACCAATCGAAACCACCATTGTAAAAGCAGCAACAAAGCTCAGTCAATTAGGAAGAAATAAAACCAAGAGCAATAAGCAAAGAAGAAGAAAAAAAACTCTGCATTATAACAAAACGTGAGAAAGATTCTAAATTTCTAACAAACGCTAAACGACGAGTATCCAAGTCCCACACTTTCACCTCACCTTATCCTAGTCTCTGTCGTTGCATTTTCAACGTCAAATTTGTACTGTGGACCAACATGAGGACACACGACAATCATTCACCAAGGACAATTATATAAATTTTCTTCTCTGGCTTGTTTGTTTGTTTGTTTGTCGTCAAGGAAAGTTAAAAGAGTAAAGTAAAGAACGTACCTTCTTCGTTTGTGTAGCCGTCTCCTCCACTGCACACCTCCTCGAGCCGCCCGTTTAATTTCTCGGCACTCTTAGCAGATCCCTTTGTAAACCCATGGCGGATTCAGAAAAATGTGAATCCTTTCCTATTCCAAAGATCGAGTATTGGTCAGGAAATTTGAGGAAAACAACTTCGGTGGATTGATTTGTTCGTTCGATTCCGGATCCGAATATGACCCAAAAATCAAACCGGAAAGTCTTTCTGATCCGAATATCGATCCGGTCCAAATGCGGGTCAATGTATCTAATGCGCGCGGAAATTTTTTCGTAATATTTTACATTTTTGTCAAATGTGCATATACGAGTACTGTGTATATTTGTGTCTTTTAAATTTTAATCTCTTATAACAAACAGTAACGTTATCATACATTAAAATATTGAGAGGCACAAATAATAACCGATTGATGGTTTATACACATTTGTCATGCACTTCGTGATTATGTTATGCATATGCATACGTAACTAATATACTCTTAAGTATTCATAAAGTAAAATATGCAACAAATAATTGTAATCATTCTAAATTTGGGCATGAAGGTTCTGATTTCTGAGAAGAAGAATTTCCTCTGCAGCTTGCCCAATACTCAGCAACGAGCTTAGAGAAGTAAGAATCAGTCTCCATCAGCTTCCAAGGCTCGTTATACTCCACAAGATCACCTGTTTGGTCATGACTCATAAGCTTATATAGGTTTAAGAGAGATAGGATGTTTACCAAACTTACATTAGAGAGAGAGAGAATATGTTTACCAAAGGAGAGAACCATGACCATGTCACTGTCTATCACCGTTGGGACTCTATGTGCAACTGTTATCACAGTGCAGTCTGCAAACTCTTCTCTTATGATTCTCTGAATGATTGCATCAGTGGCTGAGTCAATGGAGGCTGTAGCTTCATCCAACACCAATATCTTGTTTCTCTTCAGCAGTACTCTTCCGAGACAGAACAGCTGTCTCTGTCCCACGCTCCAGTTCTCTCCTTCATCACTCACTTCACATTCGTCACACCAACAACAAAAGATGAACATGAGTGTAAAGTCATCTGGTGAAATGAAAACATAACTGTTTTGTTTTTTTCATTACCTGAAGAATCAAGTTTATTAGGCAGATTGCTAATCGTCGTCTTGAGCTGGCACTTCTCGAGAGCCTGTATGCAAAAGAAATGGTTCCTCGGTTTTAAATTCTTGATATAGAAATCTCATTCTTGTTTCGTATCTCACCTTCCATATCTCATCGTCGGAGTAAACACCTAAAGGATCAAGGTTGGTCCTTATGCAGCCACGGAAAAGAGTTGGTTCTTGAGGAATGATGCTGAGTTTCATTCTTAAATCCTTTAGGCCAATCTTACTTATGTCAATGCCATCAATCAATATGGAACCACTTGCTGGTTCCACCAAGCGAAACAAAGCACTGATTAAAGTGCTTTTCCCACTTCCGGTCCTACCAACAACTCCAACTCTTGTCCCTTCCCTGAATGTGCAAGAGATTCCTTTGAGAACCAACGGAGCATTGGGGCGATATCTTATCTGCAAAAAGGAATCAAAACAATGGCTTAGCATCATTTAAACCATCATCTTATAACAAGTAATGTTTATTCTTTTACCTTAAGCTCCTGCAAGTGAATTTACCCATTGGAAGGCCATGAGGAAGGTGGTCTACAATCATCCACAACTGCAGCAGGTTCTGCTGGTATGCTCATATACTGTTTTATCCTCTCCACCGAAATGATAGAGTTCGATAAGGTGCAATACCATCGTGTCAAAAACACCTGAGTCTGTGTCAGTGTTAATGCATAGGAGAGTGAAAGCCCAACTAAGCCTGCAACACAAAGGCACAAGTTCATATAGAACCTTTTCAGTTTGATGAATATCCTGAAAAAAATATAACAAAAATTCAGCAAAATTGCTGGAAGATGTGATGAGGTTAAAAAAAAGAATTCATGTACCTGGAGCTATGTAGCCCTTGGGAATAAGGATAAGCAGAAGTGCACAAGTGAATAAAGTCACATTCTGCAGAGTCTCTATCCTCAGAATCACCCACTCCATGGCTGCATTAGACAGAAAGAATAGCACGGCATCTGCGTCGACTAGGTTTAGGTAGTTTTTAAAGAATCTGTCTACTGTTCCAAAGGCTCGTATTGTCACCACTCCAAGTGAGGTTTCTGCAGCATAATTCATCACTGGAGCTTTGGTTGTTCCGTTGATCCTAATCAGCTCCCTTGCAGAGGCTAAATAGTAATCCTTTTTTCAAAGAAGAAGGCATATGTTAATAATGACTCCTTTGCTGCATAACAACTATGAAAATATAAATGCAAAGCATGTACCTGAACAACTTTTGTGGCTGCCAAAGCAAGAAGAGCGATGATGATTACTTGCCATGTACATATGTCATGACGAATAGAGCTGCAGTGAGCTCAACAGCCGGTGCTACCACAAATATGAATGCAAATGGAATGTCAAAGTCCAAGACGTTCAAATCAGATGATGCCTGCCAAAGTTACATTCAATTATATATCACATTGAGCTGTAGTGTTATTCATATACATGCAAGAAAGCGGATCTTACTCGGGTGAGAATGCGTCCAACGGGAGTAGAATCAAAGAAAAGCATGGGCTTTGAAGACTGCATTTGTGAAACCAGAGAAGAAAGCTTTCGAAGCTTTTAGTCCAAGATGGGCAGTTGTAACAGCTCTCGTGTATACAAAACCAGCACTAAGAGTTGAGATAATGCTATAGACTCCAATAAGCATTGTGCAGTGAGTTTAGGGATCCCAATGCCATAAGCCAGCCAGTAAGTTGATGCAGCCTGAAAAACTACAAAGCCAACCTGACCCAATACGCTTGACCATAGAAGAAACCATCCTTGGGAGACACGGAAATAGTCCAAGAAAGGTTTCAACCCAACATAACCCTGTCTCTTTTTCTTCTTCCTGTGTAAGTTGACCCCTGGAGTATCCGCTGTTTCAATATATTCTTCTATTTTTTCGACAACATCGATGTTTCCTATCTCTCTGTCTCTACCTCCTTTCCTAAGATCTCCTAGACTTCATTACTAGCTAAAGGTAATACAGTCACTGCATCATTATGAGCATTCACCAGCTGTTTGAATGCAGTCCCCATCATTAAGAGCTCCTCATACTTTCCTGATTGAGTGATTCTTCCTTCTTCCATAACCTGAGCATGATCATCAATCTTTAAAATCAAACGGTAAGACATAGAGTGTTTTAATCTGCTACTACTCAAGTTTTACCAGAATTTGATCGACTTCAGAGAGAAACTCGACTTGGTGAGTGACCAGAATGACAGTTTTCTCCCTCAGCGAGTCCTCAACACATTTCTGCAGTCAAAATAACACATATTAAAAAGCACTCTTTAGGAAAAGCTTCTTAAAAAAAATGTTCTCTCACTTACATGAAAAAGAAATCCAGCTGTATGAGCATCCACGGCACTAAAAGGATCATCAAGAAGGTAAACATCAGCGTCTGCATAGACAGCACGGGCCAGCTGAATCCTTTGCTTTTGTCCTCCACTCAAGTTAAGCCCTCTCTGTCCTATTTCTGTGAGATCACCATGTCCAAACCCATCTATGTCCTTATCCAACGCACATGTTTTAATAGCAGCATTGTATCGTCTAGTATCCATGGGCTTTCCATAGAGGATATTGTCTCTGATGGTACCACTTTGGATCCAAGAGTCTGAGAAACATAAGCGATGGACCAGAGATTTACCTGTTTCAGTAAGACAACAAAAGGAAACATCTATGAACAAACAACATCTATGAATGAACAAAAGAAAAAGAGTCTTGGTGGCTGCTTTGCTTACAGTTCCGGAAACTTTAGGTATTTCTCCGAGTACTGCATGCAACAACGATGATTTTCCTGCCCCAACTGGTCCACAAACCGCAACTTTCTGCCCATTCTTTATTTCCAAATTTATATTTTGAGAGTTGGAATCTTAGTTTCTGGATCCCAACTGAAGTTACCTGCTTGTATGTCAACTGCTGTTCCAGATTTCTCCAGACCACTTCTTTCAGTCTCATCAATCTTGAGCTCGTCGTCAAGGAGAAAGTTGTTTATCCTATCGAAAGAGACACTGACTTGGATTACAGCAGAAATTCGCCTCAGGTATAAGTCTAACAGGCTCTGACATCACTCTTAGTGTAGCTAAAACCGTGAAGATGGTGCTTGCATTCAGCGGCGCGCTCTTCAACAAGCACACCCACAAAGATAACAGAAGAAACAATTGTTGGAGACATCCAATACAAGAAAGTACCAAAGGCCTTTGTCAGCTGAGCCTTAGCCAACCATTTGAATTCATCATCACGACAAGACTCTATCTGTTTCTTGAACTCCTCTTCCCATGACTGCAGCTTAATGACTTTCATACTGTTCAGAATCTCTGAGGTTCAACCTCAGACGCTTATCCTGCGCGATCATGAACTGTGTCTGGCAGTTCTGTAACTCTTTGCAAATGGTAGATTTAGGAGACCCAGAAGAGAAGAAGAACTAAACCGGAAAAGCTCCTGCTCCAACTACACCAAAAAGCACAGCTGTGAAAGCAAAAGCTGTAGCGTAAGGCTCCATCCCGAGTGGAACCACCATAAGAATTCTCCCATCGATATGCATCCACCGCAATGTAGTTCACAATCTCTCCAGATGAATGCCTTTTCCTCCCCAAGCTTGATAACTTTAGCTGCTTTTTGTAGGCAGCGACCATTAGCGCTGATCTAATCCTCATCCCTGATCTTCTTGCTGCAAAATACCAATGTCTCATCGACAAGGACTCAACTAGCTTCAGCATAACCAGACAAGCTAAGTTGAAGAAGCCAACGCGGAGATCCCTCTGGTCACTGTTTGCATAGTCCACAAAGACATATAGCATTAGTGGAAGAGATACAACAGCAACGGTTCTGAGAAAGGCACATATTGCTATGAATATGTTTTCCTTGAAGTAAACTTTGCAACGGCTCTAAACACCAAGTTTGTTTTCTTCGTTGAGCATCCCTCTCTGAGAAGAGTATCCCATGCTTGAGAGAATTTACTGTAAGCTAATTCAGCCTCATCCTCCGGGACCACACTTGGGATATCTTCTGAGCATAATGGTTTCTTGAAACCCAACGAGAGTAAAGGATTCATCCAGAGAATGTCAGGAGCTGAAAAACCCAGCTGTTGCTAACCTGCAGAGTTTTTTCGAGGCTTCTCAGTTAATAGAGGATCAGAAAGGTCTGTTTCACTGCAATCTTGAGCAGGAGAGCTCTGAGATTGATACAGGAGCAAAGGAGAAGCAAAAGGCTCATCAGCCAGTAATGATGTCAAAGACTCTGATGCCTTTTCCCTGTAAAAGTATCTGGATGTTTGCTGCAGAATCCAGCAAAGCAAAAGAGACCCACCAAACAGATGCAAGAATCTCAATCCACTTTGAGCCATTAACAAGCAAGTGAAACCGCAAGTGAGACCCAAATGATCCCTTCAACGAAGAAACCACCCAAGAGGTTTCATCGACGTCATTAGAACCATCAGTCAGATTTTTCAATCCAACACCAAGAAAGTGATGCTAGCAATAACACAACATATAGCAGCAGCCACAAAGATCCAGCTTTTCTTGCGGCTCCTGACAGTAAACCGTTTGGAAACAACGCAACCAGCTATCAAGAGCAAGTAGTAGACGCAGAGGAAGATAGATTTATAAGATCTATGGCGGTTCTTTGGAAGCAATGAGAGGCCAAGTTCAGCTCAACGTCACACCATGGAAGACTCCCTGCAACATGAAAGGAGATAAAAATTAGCAAATCACCAACACTTTTTATGAATAATATATTAATCGAATTTTTAGTCTTCTGAGGAACACAAGAAGCCAAGAGGATAAACATTAACAATGATTGTACATAGAAATATTATTTTAACAAGTTTAAATTCAGAATGCTTGGTTTTTCCTCTACAAGAACCTCACACACAGTTAAAAACCAAAGTTGAGCATTGAAACAAGTAACTCAAGAAATGAAAAAGCAAACAGAGTGAGCAAAAAAAAAAAACAGAAAGTAAATCCTAGTACCAATCGAAACCACCATTGTAAAAGCAGCAACAGAGCTCAATCAATTAGGAAAAAAAATAAAAACTTTAGAGCAATAAGCAAAGAAGAACAAAAAAAAACTCTGCCTTTTAACAAACGTGAGAAAGATTCTAACAAACGCTAAACGACACGTATCCAAGTCCCACACACACTCCCATCTCTCCTTAACAATGCCAAAATCTTTGTCCACTAAAATGATTGATCACTGTCGTTGCAGTTACAACGTGTACTCAGCTCACTGTGGACCAACATGAGCACACAAGACAATCATTCACCAAGGATAATCGTATGCAATTTGTTCTCTGGTTTGTTTGTTTGTCGTCAAGGAATGTTAAAGAGTAAAGTAAAGAACCTTCTTTTCGCTTGTGTAGCTGTCTCCTCCATTGCACCTCCTCCAGCCGTTTAATTTCTCGGCACTCTTAGCAGATCCCTTTGTAAATCCATGGCGGATTCAGAAAAATGTGAATCCTTTCTTATTCCAAAGATTGAGCAAATGTGAAAACAACGAAACCCATATAGAGATTGGTCAGAAATTTGGGGAAAACAACTTCGTTCCGGTGGATTTGTTCGTTCTATTTCGGACCCGAATATGACCCAAAAATCGGAAAGTCTTTCGGATCCGAATATCGATCCGGTCCAAATTCGGGTCACTGGATCTAATGCGCGCTTAATTTTTTCGTATATCTTTTTGTCAAATGTGCATTTACAAGTATATTACTTTGGTTGTGTCTTTAATTATAATGGTGCGCAGAAAAAGGACTTTATATAGCAACAAAATGTAGCTCGGATCCTTTCGTTTTTTGTCATCTGAAGATTAGATATGTATCATGACTTCATATTTTTGTTTTTGTCACCATTAAGATATTGAGAGGCACACAAAATAACTGATTGATGGTTTATACACATTTTTCATGCACTTCGTGATTATGTAATACATATGCATACTAATATAATTTAAGTTTTCATAAAGTAAAAAACAAATAATCGTCATCATTCTAAATTTGGGCACATCATTCTAAATTTGGGCATTAAGGTTCTGAGAAGAAGCATTTCCTCTGCAGCTTGCCCAATACTCAGCAACGAGTTTGGAGAAGTAAGAATCAGTCTCCATCAGCTTTGAAGGCTCGTCATACTCCACAAGATCACCTGTTTGGTCATAACTCATGCATGAGCGTCCATATAGGTTCACAATGAGCTTAGGAGATGAAAGAAAAGGTTCATTAGAGAAAGAAAGAGAAGATGTTTACCAAAGGAGAGAACCATGACCATGTCACTGTCTATGACCGTTGGTACTCTGTGAGCTACTGTTATCACCGTGCAGTCTGCAAATTCTTCTCTTATGATTCTCTGAATGATTGCATCGGTGGCTGAATCAATGGAAGCTGTAGCTTCATCCAACACCAATATTTTGTTTCTCTTCAGCAATACTCTGCCAAGACAGAATAGTTGTCTCTGTCCCACGCTCCAGTTCTCTCCTTCATCACTCACTTCACATTGAGTCACACCAACAATAAAAGATGAACATATGAGTGTAAAGGTCATCTGGTGAAATGAAAACATAACTGTTTTGATTTTTTGCAATTACCTGAAGAATCAAGTTTATTAGGCAGATTGCTAATGGTGGCCTTAAGCTGGCACTTCTCGAGTGCCTGTATGCAAAAGGAATGGTTCCTTAGAAACGCCTTAAAAAAATTATGATATCGAAATCTCATTCTTGTTTCGTATCTCACCTTCCATATCTCATCGTCAGAGTAAACACCTAAAGGATCAAGGTTGGTTCTTATGCAGCCACGGAAAAGAGTTGGTTCTTGAGGAATGATGCTGAGTTTCATTCTTAAATCCTTTAGGCCAATCTTACTTATGTCAATGCCATCAATCAATATGCAACCACTTGCTGGTTCCACCAACCGAAACAAAGCACTGATTAAAGTGCTTTTCCCACTTCCGGTCCTACCAACAACTCCTACTCTTGTCCCTTCCCTGAATGTGCATGAGATTCCTTTGAGAACCAACGGAGCATTGGAGCGATATCTTATCTGCAAAAAGAATCAAAACATTGGCTTAAACATAGTTTAAAACATCATCTTATAATAAATAATGTTTCTTCTTTCCATACCTTAAGCTCCTGCAAGTGAATTTTACCATTGGAAGGCCATGAGGAAGGTGGTCTACAATCATCCACAACTGCAGCAGGTTCTGCTGGTATGCTCATATACTGTTTTATCCTCTCCACCGAAATGATAGAGTTCGATAAGGTGCAATACCATCGTGTCAAAAACACCTGAGTCTGTGTCAGTGTTAATGCATAAGATAGCGAAAGCCCAACTAAGCCTGCAACACAAAGGCACAAAATTCATACAGAATTTTTAGTTTGATGAATATCCTGAACAAATATAACAAAAATCTTCCCACTAAAGATGAATACATCCATTAGTTATGAAACATGTAAAGTTAACAGCTAAAAACGCTGGAAGATGTGATGAGATAAAAAAAAATCGGGTACCTGGAGCTATGTAGCCCTTGGGAATAAGGATAAGTAGAAGTGCACATGTGAATAAAGTCACATTCTGCAGAGTCTCTATCCTCAGAATCACCCACTCCATAGCTGCATTAGACAGAAAGAATAGCACGGCATCTGCGTCGACTAGGTTTAGGTAGTTCTTAAAGAATCTGTCTACTGTTCCAAAGGCTCGTATTGTCACCACTCCAAGTGAGGTTTCTGCAGCATAATTCATCACTGGAGCTTTGGTTGTACCGTTGATCCTAATCAGCTCCCTTGCAGAGGCTAAATAGTAATCCTTTTTCAAAGAAGAGGGCATATGTTAACAAGTAACTCCAAGGCTGCATAAGCCAACTATGAAAATATGTAAATGCAAAGCATGTACCTGAACAACTTTCGTGGCTGCCAAAGCAAGAAGAGCGATGATGATTACTTGCCAAGTCACATATGTCATGACGAATAGAGCTGCAGTGAGCTCAACAGCAGGTGCTACCACAAATATGAATGCAAACGGAATGTCAAAGTCCAAGACGTTCAAATCGGAAGATGCCTGCCGAAAGAACATTCAATTATATCATTTCATTTAGCAGTAGTGTTATTCATAAACATGTAAGTAAAGGCGATCTTACTCTGGTGAGAATACGTCCAACGGGAGTAGAATCAAAGAAAAGCATTGGAGCTTTGAAGACTGCATTTGTGAAACCAGAGAAGAAAGCTTTTGAAGCTTTTAGTCCAAGATGGGCAGTTGTAAGAGCTCTCGTGTATACAAAACCAGCACTAAGCCCTGATATGATGCTATAGACTCCAATAAGCATTGTTGCAGTGAGTTTAGGGATCCCAATGCCATAAGCCAGCCAGTAAGTTGATGCAGCCTGAAAAACTACAAAGCCAACCTGACCCAATACGCTTGACCATAGAAGAAACCATCCTTGGGAGACACGGAAATAGTCCAAGAAAGGTTTCAACCCAACATAACCCGTCTCTGTTTCTTCTTCTTGCGTAAGTTGGACCCCTGGAATATCCGCTGTTTCAATATATTCTTTGATTTTTTCGACAACCTCGATGTTTCCTGTCTCTCTGTCTCTACCTCCTTTCCTAAGGTCTCCTAGACTTTCATTACTAGCTAAAGGTAATACAGTCACTGCATCATTATGAGCATTCACCAGCTGTTTGAATGCAGTCCCCATCGTTAAGAGCTCCTCATACTTTCCTGACTGAGTGATTCTTCCTTCTTCCATAACCTGAGCATGATCATCAATCTTTAAACATCAAACGGCTAAGACATAGAGTGTTTGATACTATTCAATTTTTACCAGAATTTGATCGACTTCAGAGAGAAACTCGACTTGGTGAGTGACCAGAATGACAGTTTTCTCCCTCAGCGAGTCCTCAACACATCTCTGCAGTCAAAATAACACATATTAAAAAGCACTCTTTAGGAAAAGCTTCTTAAAAAACAATGTTCTCTCACTTACATGAAAAAGAAATCCAGCTGTATGAGCATCCACGGCACTAAAAGGATCATCAAGAAGGTAAACATCAGCGTCTGCATAGACAGCACGTGCCAGCTGAATCCTTTGCTTTTGTCCTCCACTCAAGTTAAGCCCTCTCTGTCCTATTTCTGTGAGATCACCATGTCCAAACCCATCTATGTCCTTATCCAACGCACATGTTTTAATAGCAGCATTGTATCGTCTAGTATCCATGGGCTTTCCATAGAGGATATTGTCCCTGATGGTACCACTTTGGATCCAAGAAGTCTGTGAAACATAAGCGATGGACCCAGAGACCTTTACCTGTTTCAGTAAGACAACATAAAGGAAACATCTATGAACAAACATACATCTATGAAATGAA